GGAGTCTGTCAGGTCCCCATGTGTTTTGCTGTTTTGGAAGCTGCAGTGTGGAAAGCTGCCTGTGATGGTCACACAGGGAATCTGCGTGTATTGGCAGGGGAGTGGGAACCAGCAAGGGCCTTTGGTGTTGCTCTGTATGTCAGTGCAGCAAGCATCAGGACAGCTCAGCACATCACCCATTACAGAGTGGCCTCAGTCTGGCTGTGGCCTCACGACAAGGAAGATTGGGTCTTTGTAGACCATATTGAAAAGATGCAAGACCAGCACATTTAATGCAGAAAGACTGCCAAGCTTTCTTCCAGCCAGCCTGGGAGCTTGAGTCCCTCCAAGGGACCACATTATCAGTCTGTTTCATCATGCTTGGCCTCCATAGGCAGAGATGTACGATCACTTAGGGTGATGCTTGTGACTGTGGACACCCAGCCCAGTGCAACTGGGACCTTCAGGTCCAGCTGCATGGCCCTAGTTCAAAAAGCAGCTGGTCGGGGCAACGTTGCAGGTTTTGATCCCAAAAGCGTGGGGGTATGATCCTGCCTGCAAGTCAAACATCAGTCATGGTGCTCATCCAGCTCCCAGCTCTGCTACTGCTGTGCCTGGGCTGGGATCAGGCAGGCGAGCGAAGGTGGAAGCCTAAGGCGGGTTGTTTCTTACAGCAAACATTTAACAGCAGAATAAGACTAGAAAATCCCCATCTCTTGGTAATGAATCCCCTGTGTAACAGTCTTAACACCGAGACACGACACGCCTGTGGAATTCCTGAGATTGTTGCAAACTGAACCCTTCTTTCCCACCCTGAAATTTCACAGCAATTTACGTCTCCAAGCCATCAGGGATCACCATTTGCAGGCACCGAGGGGGATCTCCCATCCCTCGTCTGCTTTGTGCAGCTTGCGGTGCTATTTTGGAAATTCTCTCATTTACTGGGTGGTTCAACTGAGTACAACTGCTCCTTTGGCTAAAATCATCGCGTGCCTGTCATCTGGTAATTAGAAAGCACCAAAAAGCCAGTGGTGCTTAAGGCGGCTCTGGGATGACCAAGGCAGCTTTTTTTTTTGTGGATAAAGGACTGGGCTTTGGAGGCTGTAGACTTTTCCACTGAAATCAGATTTTGGTTTAAAAAGAAGGGGAAGGTAACACTGGGTGAAAAATGACACCCAGAAGCACAGCAGCACTACAAGAAGGGCAATGATCGGTGAGAAAAGCAAATGCCTTCTGTTGGAAAAACCGGGGGGGGGGGGGAGATAATTTTGAGGCAGGGGAAACAAAAGAACCTTTAAAGCCCATCCCTCTGGGTTTGCCCAGTTCTTACTGGTGCTGCAGTTAGAGGCAATTCACGGACTCTCACAGTTCAGCTGGAGCTGGGCTGAGAACCTCGTGAAGAAGTCAGAAGTGAACTCCTGCTGCTGGGAGGACATCTTCATGGATGGCAATGCACTGAACTGCACCTCACCAGCTGCTCATCCTGCAGCTGGAAGAGCTGACACATCCCTCTTCCAGCAGGTCACTGGGATGTCCTGCAGAGCCAGGGTGTCTGTGGTACAGGAAAGCTCCTTTTCCAAAAAGTGCCACCCTTTCCTGTTTGCATTGCAAACTGAGCATTTCCTTGTCTGAAAACGGCCTCACAGTGTCTGGCATATTGTTTACTGTGGAAATTATTGTGACCACGTTAGCTGTGCGGGCTTGTTGGGGTCCCTCTCCACGACATGCAACCTAGGAGCCAATTTCAGGGCAACCTGATGAACGAAGATTTTGAAGATCTTGAAGTTGGGCAGTGGTGGAGCAAAGAGACTATGCTTAGATACTGACTGTCTTATCCTTTTAGACTCTGTGAAAGAGCTGTTTTTTCTCCCAAAGCTTCTCCATAAGCCTCTCGGACAGCCACCCTGCAGGTCTGCTGCTCTGTTCAGACTGATCATCCTTCTTTAACTTCCCTAGCTCAGCTGTAATCAGCCCAAATGCAACCCACGCACCAAAGCAAGGACTGTCACAGGGTGTCATTACTCAGCTCTGGCTGCATATTCATGGGAGAGGTAGCCTTTTGGGAGGCATCCTGTGCTCCTGCAGAGCCACTGCTTCAGAATCGGTGCAGAGCCTCCTGTGCTCGCTGTCCTGCAGGCAGGACCAGCAGGTCATCTTCCCCAAACACCTTATCTTATCCAGAGGAAAGGAAAGCAGGCAGAACGAGAGCATTCTGCAGATCGCCTGGTCTGGCCGAAACACCCTGTTCCCCGATAAGCCTGCAAGGTTGATGGGGAAGCACATGCGATGCTGCCCCACTGGGCTTTTGCTGGAGAAAACAAGCCGCAGCTTGGGTGTCATCCTCCAGCCCTGCTCTAATAGGAATTGTCCCAGTTCTTTGTATTTTCACTAAATGTGCCTGGAGTGCTGGGGTTAGCAACCATCACAGTGCTTCCCTCCTCTCAGCTGGAGAAGAAACCTTAGCAGCTCCCTTCCCTTCTCCACAGGGCTGGGGGAAAGGAAGAGGGATGCGATGGGAGGGTCTGAGCACTGGGGCCACTGGAGGAAGTCTGAAGCAGGGCTGACGGGAGCTCTTGGTGCTTTCCCAACTGCTCAATCCCATCAGCACCCTCAGGTATGGCACCAGAGACAGGTGGCCCATGCAGACTTGTTATGCCTCTGTCCCCTCTGCTCTGGAACAGCGAGTGAGGAGCAGGACATCAAATGCCACAAGCCACCAGGAATGAAAGCCCACAAACCCAGCACATGCACGGTCTCCATTGGAAAGCAAGTGGCAGGGACACCTCAGGAAAGGGGCTATGGGCAGCCCCTGCCATGCTGCGCACGCAGGGAAGTTATAGGGGCTCTAAATGACACTAATGGCCGGGTAGAGCACAGCAGCCTAGCGTAAAGATTTCTTGCTGGGAGGGACAGTTAGAGGCATTTCTTAAAGCCCAGGGCAGGGACCAGGAGGGGAAGAGTCCCCAGCCTGGACATCACTGCTCCGCTGGATGCAGACTGGCTCCGGGCAGGCTTTGTGAAGGGTTGCTCCTCTCGCTCTGGGCAGCATGTATTCCCACCACACTCTGCAGCCAGCTCGGGCTGGCCACAGTTTGCCACTGCAGACAATTTCCACCCAAAGCTGCAAAGTCATTTTTGCAGCAGGAAAGAGCTTAAAGCAGTGTCCAGCCCCTGCACCCCCACCGAATGGTGGAGGGGAGGCCTGGGAGGCTGCAGCCCTGCAGATGGGTGCTGAAACTTGAGGTATCTGCATGAACCTCCCGGCTGGCTGTGGGTAGAAACTTTTCCTTGTCTGGCTCAGAGATAAGCAGGCTTTAACCAAAAGACAGTTCAACAGAGCCGGGAGAGGGGAGCAGAGCAGCTACGGGATTGTGGATAGCATAAGCTGCAGCCTAGACATCAAGGACGAGCAGCCTGGTTTACAGCAAGACAGACTGTGAGTTCTCCTCTGTGGGCACAACACCGCCAGTCCTGCCTGCCAGTATGGCAGAGAGCAAGTGCCACAAGGACTGCTGGCTCCAAGGCCAGCCGTGCCACCACATGCCATCCAGCTCCACGCCAAACCCACAGCACGTGTCCTTCCCCACCCCACTGCCACCAGAGCTGAGCCACCAGGCAACCAGCTGCTGGTGGAGGCACTGGCCATGCCTGGGAGGAAGCTGAAAGAAATAAATAATAACTAACACTGGCAAACACCAGCTCAGACCAGCAAGGGGGGGGCTAGGGAAAGGGATTCACTCACTCACTCTGGACCCTGGAGGTGTCATGCCATGCATCTGAGTGCACAGGCACAAAGCAGACATAGGTTGTGGTTCTGGGCCTTGGTTCTGGAAACTTCCTGCCACTGGGAGATTTTAATGCAAGAAAATAATGCAGTGATGTTACACTTTTATCCTTTAGCTTCCCTTAAACTAAAAAGTAATAAAAAGTGTCTGCAACACATTCCTTGAAGTGTCCCCAGCCCCTGCAAGTGCATCTACAGCAATTAATTGTGCTTTAGATCAATGGTAAAGAAGAACTTTGAAGTACTAAACCACTCTAGGAAAGTATAAATTGCAACTATGTCAAAAGTAATCTCAATGTACAAGGGTGAAAAAATTCTTAGAGTAATGTTTTCCTTCAAACTTTAGTTGGTTTCTCCTTCTGTAGAACAATTCACATGTGACTGGTAGGCATGAGAGACATTCCCCAGGTGAAACGAGAGACAGCAGACTGGGACAGACACATGCAATCCTTTCACTGGGCTGAAAACTTGAATTAAATGGATGGAAGCTGGGCAAAGCAACAGTATAGCCTGGTCACTGGGCTGAGAAGTAAGAGACCTTGGAGAGATTCCCACTCCCTTCCCTTCCTCCATCCCTTCTGCATTTCTTATCAGCACAGGTGTTCTACTGTATCTGTGGGTGCATGCAGCACCTGGGGATCCTACCCTGCATCAGGGCCCCATGAAGCTATTACCTATTTGGTTGAAATTTTGTAGGTGGGCAGGGAAGGGAGCAAGAGGAACACTTGCTAGGGGAAGGGACCGATCCAGGTGTCTTGAGGTGGGCCCAGGATCCGGAATGATTCCTCACATTTATATGGTCATGCAGTGCCCTAAAAAGCACTGTACTAAACCTAGGTTGAGTCTGTGTTCCCTGCTCCTGCTTGCAATATGGTTGGCCTGTGAGCTCAATCATGTTGCTGGGGTTCAGTGACTTCTGCCTTGTGGGCCCATCTAGCTCAAAAGGACCTTGACTTACAGGGGCTGCAAGAGTCCCTTCTTCCCAGCACCTGCATCCCGAATGGAAAGTTTGTCTGTTTTGAGATGGAAAGACATCTGCCAAGACACAGATTCCCTGAATCTAAGTGACGTTCAAGCTCAGTTCTCCTGAGACACGTCCTTCAGGCAGAAATTGCAGTCAACTTCCAAAGATAGGTGCAATTTCCTGGGAGACCTCTCTTGCATGTAATGGGTAGTTTCCCATCCCCAAGAGCCATCTCTTTCACAGAAAACCACTTAAAGCAGTACAAAGACACACAAGACACATAGACATGCACTGAAAGACAGAAGCAGCACCTTGATTTACTGTGGGACTAGAAACAGCATATAACCTCCTCCCTTAGATTTCTCCAGTTTTAAACCCCAAGACGCAGTTGTCTCCTCCTGCCAGCCCTCTGCTTTCCGACATCTGGCAGGGTAGTAAAGGTCAAATGACAGAGCAAGTTGGGACATATGCAAACAGTTAAGCCATCTTTTTGCTGAAGTCATGTTTGAGTTCCTGCAAAATAAATAAATAAATAGATAGATAGATGGAAAAAATACCAAGGCACAGAGGAGATAACGTTATACAAAGATGCCCTCTGCCGGTCACAAGCCAAACGAAAGCCATCCACCTCAGCTCTACACCAATGATCTGCAACTTCCCTTCCTCCCTCCCTCCTTTTATAGATGAACGCCTAAAAGTATTCCCTATGGAGGGAAATGTGCTGTAAAACAAATTTAGTGCTTTTTCCCATGACAGCTGAAGTGATCTAGCAACAAACTACTAGCAAGGGCAGTCCAGCCACCCCTCTCCTTTGTTTTGGATCTTACAATCCTTGGGTAAGTCAAACAGCTTCAGTTAAATCCAATAGGAAAACAAAAGCATCAGGAAAAATGTTCTGCCAGGTCAGCCAGCTGAACTGACTCCCTGTCTGCCTTGATGTAATATAAGGAAAGTGGTGAGAACACAGGGCCAGGGCAAAAAGGGACACATCCACATTATTCAAGATTGGCTTTGCTGTAACGGTTAACTTTTGCAGGCATTTGAGACACAGTCCACAAGTCCCTGCAAGATGAAAACACGTGGTCAATACTACCAGCTGAAAACTATTTAAGGCACTAATCAATTCAGAGCATGTTTCTCTCTCTGTTTTAAATAGCAATGTTATTGATTATAGCTATGATTTTAAATAATTTCCAAGTACTGAGAGCTTGCTCAAACGATACAAATTGCAGATTTTAAATCTGTTAAGTCAGTCTGTTAAAACAATGCAGATCTATTGCACACACACACATCAGTATCAGCTCAACTCTTTCTTGTAGCAGTTTAATTCCTGCTGATGTAAATCCTCAATTTAATTTACTGACAGGGAATTAAATCAGCATGAACTGGTTTCAATGCATCTGTGCTGGGCATTTGTGATGATCAAACTAGACCAGTTTAAAACAATGTCATTGGATTAGAAAGCGCCACTGATAGAAACAAGCTCTTAAGAGATGCAGTGTAATCATCTTGGACACTAAAGAACAGTACATGCAGTGAGTGAGCAGCCCTCTCCTCACAATTCATTCTTTTCCACTGAAATTGAACCCTGTCTGCAAAAACATTTCACAGTCAGGGAAGAGTTTCGTACATGTCCTCATAGTGCTGGGACTCTAGGAAAACTGACAGGCTGCAACAATCAGGTGGTCTTTGGGATAGATGTCCAGTTGACCAGGGGCTTTGAGCACTGGGAGCTAGTCTGAAACCCAACATTTTATGTCCATGAGGGTAGCAGGGTGCTGCTCTTTTTCCATCCTTGAGTTTAGTGGAGGATTAACAGTGATATCAAGAGAATCAGATGTTGGAGGTCCTGGTGCTAACAACCAACCCCCTGAATCACATACCCACAGGGGTCTTTGTGTTCCATCACCCTCCCTGGTATTGTTGGGGGCCACCACTCTCTCTGGTTAGCTGGTGACTGTCTTTGGGATTTGTTTTCATGCATGATACATTCTGGCAAGCTCTAGGTTCACCTGGGAATGGCACAGAGGCTGTGTTCTACCTCTCCACTACAACCATGGTTGGGATCACATAGGCTTTCCAGAGTAGCTAAGGGGTCCCAGACAGAAATGGTGCTGGCTACACACGGTCTTGCTGCTTCTTTGATATGAGGGGTTTGCTGAAGCTGGACCTGCAGGTCCTTCCTACTTTGTGCTTCCCAGGAAGCAGCCTCTTTTACTAGAAGAGCTGGAAAAAGCTCAGATCTCTCTCTTCAGCATTTCATACACCTGGTATATACCTAGCCTCCTCACACCAGGCAAGGCTACTGCGCGGACTTCTCCCCAAGGTAGGAAGCGTTCTTTCCAGTCTTCTTTAGGGTTTCCAATAGGGTGTCAACCTTGTGCTCTGAGTCGATGCACACCTTCTTGTTGGGCAGGTCAATATCAAACTGGACACCTACGAGGAAAGGAAAAAAATTTCACACAGCTAGAAGCAGCCAAATGGTGTGAGCACAGGGAAAACTCACCTTCACACATTTGATGGCTCTCAAGGCCACGAGTCAAATGTACACGTGCCTCCTGCCAGCAAACCCTGATACCACCACCAGCCAGCAAAACCAAACTGCTGTCCTGCAGCAACGGTATGAAGGAAGCCAGATCTCCTACAGATCTGCATCGGGCACCACAGTTTCTCAACTGCTTTAATCTGCTCACCCCACCTTGGATCAATGCAAGCACTCATGCAATAACCAGAATGAGCCGAGTTTAAACCAACCACTATAATCTCCAACCAGCTCAGCCTGTGCTGCGGTTTAGCAAGAATAGGCACTAACGAGGGAGTTAGTGTAGGGGTTAGGACAGGGTCAGGTCAGGTTTCCTCAGTGGTGGTAGCAGCTAACAGCTGTAAGTAGGAGGAAGGAAAAGACATTTTCCCATGTGGATTTCCCAGTGGCTAATAAGGGTAAGCCACTCTCAGCCCAGTGAAAGGAACTGGACATGAAGTCTCTATCCGGCCACATATTTCCACAAAACTTGTAGGTCTGTATCAGCTTTGAGAGCTCTGCCACGTCATCACATGAGGCTGATACTGGCCACCATGTTGAAGAGTGATGGAGGTGCTGACAACCACACACAGAAGAAGTGCGATCGCCACAGCCTGGTGACAGGGTCTGGAAGAATTTGCAAGGCCTTCACCTTGGTGACTGAAAGCTGTTCTCACTTGGTGCAGCTCGGAGCAGGATGACAGGTCCTCACAACTGGTGAGTGTGGGTTAGATCCTTCTGTCTTGGTAATCCCAGCACAAAGGAGGCATGCGTCATAATTTTCCAGGTGGTATTAAAAATGGGCTGTACAGACAACCACCAAACACTCTGCTCAGCAGCTCTTCGCTGTGACAGCTCTGCACATGGATGCTGATGACACATCTAGGGAAGCACCACAGATACCCCGGGCCTCCTTGGGAACAATGCCTGGCAGGACATCCCTTCCTTCTGGCAGCCTGAGCAGGGGTCTACCAGTGTGGTTCCCAGAAGACTCAGGATGAGGCTCTGGTGATTCAGAGCCACCTGAAGCCACAGCAGCTCCTCCCTCCCGTGACATTTCTCCAAGGGTCACACAAGTCCTGCGAATGAACAATCAGCGACTTCTCACTGACTAAGCGGCAGGCTTGGAGCAGAGGTTTCCAACCAGCCACCTTCCGCTTTTACCCACAACGCTACCCTTGCAAGGCGGAGGATCCCAGGGCACTGACATCCTGCCCCGGAGCTGGCGTTGCTCTGGCGAGCTGGCTGTCACACACCCAGCACTGACTCACCTCCCAGCCTGTGCAGGACACGGGTGACCGCATTGGAGCAGCCTTCGCAGGTCATGTCCACAAAGAACTCGTGCTTCTGAAAAGAGGCAGACGAGGGGTCAGGGAGGGTGCAGCTGGCAACACACCACGAGCACTCATCCTCCACACTTGCCTTTTTCCTTGGGGAGATGGGCTCAAATCCTCCCCAACCAAAAAAGTCCATGCATGCCACTAAGGGATCCTCAGCAAAACTGACAGCTCCTGGTACTCCTCCCTATGGCATCCTTGTGCTGTCCCTCACGGCATAATCCTGAGGGGCCTTTGGAGACTGTATGGCCCCTACTCAGAGCAGGGCCACCTTCAGGGTCAGCGCAGGTTGCCATCTCTGTGGGCCTCTGCTGGACTCACTCCACTTGCCCTGGGGAGCCCAGGAAAAGCAAGTCTCCTGCCTCCAGCTACCCTGACTGAGTCTGCAAGGTTTTCAGTGCTTGCCCATCCTACCCTTCTTGTGTCTACAAGGCCTCTGGTCCCCAACATAATAAACTTATAAAAATATCAACAAAACTGAAATTTAAGGAACAGTAGTTTTTTCATTCCTTCGCTCCCCTGGGGCCCCAGTGTTATCTTCGCTACTGGTGAGAGATACCGGGTCAACATAAACGTGCTTGCCTGTAACACTAATCATCACGTTCAACCTTGGGCACCAGACGGATCCTAATTTCCTTTTCTTGCACATGCTTTTTACTTTCCTTAAAAAAGAAAAGTAAAGCCGTTTTTTATTTTTTACCCACAACCCCTACTTCTTTCTGTTCAACCCCCCCCTTTGTCGCCCCCCCCCGCCGCTGACAGACTAAAACCCTCACGGACACAATTCACTCTGGGAAGGAATTTGGGAACGGCAGTTCCCAGGAGGATCTTCCAGTGTAACCAGCATTTTCTCCATTTTTATTTTACAAACGCCCTGCGTGCTCTGGGCGGGAGGGGGCCGCTGTGCGGGAAGGAGGGATCGGGAGGAGCCGGGGGGGGCCCTGGGGCAGGGTCGATCCCCCTCCCCGGGGCCGACCCGTCCTCCCAAACCCCTCTGGCTTTTGGGGAGCCCCGGGGGCTCCT